AGTTGGAGATACAGAAGTTTGAGGAAACAAGAGATAGTGACCCAGAAGCCTACAGAGTGGTACAAATCTAGTCTGGTTTGCCTACATATGCACCATCTTTTCTTAACCAGAAAGTAACCAGCATTATACTTACCCGTTCAGTTAGCAACACCCCTATCCAGCCACAAATGTCTTCCCTCTCTTTGTCACTGTGGGCACCTTAATCAAGGTGAGTGACGTCTACTTCCTCACAGTAACAATTTTGAGGGAACTTCTTGTGCAATTAAGTGGTACTTAACAGAAATATGGTAGGAGTCTGTGGATATGAGTAACCCTGCCACTGGTGACAGGGCAGCTGTGCCACATGCTGCTGGGTGTTGGGGATCAGGTATAAAATTAACAAACACTCTCTTCTAAACTGATGAATAGTCTCTGAGCACTTGAGATGCTTCTCTGCAAATTGTTTCTAAAATAGTGTCCAAAAATTGCCATAATTCTTATGCAACGTGAAGAAATCCTATAAGAGAAATAGTCTCAAATACCTAAGAAAATTGCTTGACCCAGGAAGCTAAAGAAAATGGCAATTTCTGGATTTTTTTCCACCGTATAAAGTATACATTCATACTTCTTCCCCCTAAATCTAACAGTTTACAAGCTTATAAAATTATTACTAAACTTTTATGAAATAAACCTAAATAAAACACACAGATTATTCACCAAGGATAATGAATTAAAGAAAAATAATAAACATCTATTTTGAAGTACACAACTGAACTAAAACCTTTGGTTTGTAGTCTTTGCATACACATAATAAAAGCATATATAAGGTAATCCAAGGCTACACAAACAGTTTTCAAGCATACCATAGCAAGAAACTGATTTTATATTTGAACAAATGGGATCAGACTGTAGAACCTTCACATAGTATGGTGAGTAGTTCACCACTAAAAACATGACTGCTGATAACATTAAATGCAAAAATAGGACAGACCTGGACTGGCTGATTTACTTATATTTTCACTGTAACAGATTTTCCTTTTTCCTACTTCATAGCACCCTGTCTCTGCATTATTAGGAATAACAGAATGCACTTTGTGCAGCTGAAAGCCTTACCTTACTTGAAGAAAGACTGCAGCTTTATGCTAATTGCAGCTTCATCACAGCACTAGTGTGGGGTGTTTTGTGGGGTTTTTTTCTTCCTCAAAAGCTTGATGTAAATCAGCAGAAATCATTCCAAAGGAAATGTGACTTTTTAAGCAACATTTTTAGGATTTGTGTAAAGCACACAGGACATGAAAAGAGATTTAAAACAGTAGGATATTACAATCTATCTATGGTCGAGTTGAAGTTTTCCTGTTTGGAGCTCATTTAAAAGAACTATGTTAATGAATCAGGATTTGACTTGTTGCATTTTCCTCATTTTCAAATCTGGCAACTAAAAATATTTACATAGTCAAATCTTCCATGGAATTTTTTTGAAGCTTTGAATTGTGTCGTATAAATACATGCCAACAGAGACCAACCTAGATATTTTCTTCTTTTATTTTTACAGCTACAATATAAATGAGTTCACTTCTCATTTATGAATTCTAGGATAAAACGTGCAGAAATGGAAAAAGCAAGTTAGCAAGATAGATTTTAGAACATATAAAGCATCCAGCAAGAGACAGATGCTCCTTTCCACCATTCTTTTCATCTTACAAGGGATTGTTAAGAATAATTTCTTTCAGTTTCCCCTGCCATCCATTTCTGTGTGGCTGACTTGCTCAAGTCTTTGTTAAACTGAGTAGCTCATCAAGAGGGTTATTTCTGTTCTACTTTCCTCGATGTGTAAGAGGAAGAAGATATTCAAAATGTGACAAAGTGAAAATAAGCTGCAGAATATTTTGCATTCTTACATATGATTAGACTCAAATGTCTGATGTAGCTCAATGAAGACAAGCACTATTTGAAACATTTTTCTAACTTCTTGTTATTTCTTTATGCCCACTCATCAAAAATAAGCACAGCTTACAGCACATATGCTACAAGAAAGAGCTATGAAAAAACCTAACAAACAAGAGGGAAGCTGGAATATTATGAAGTGAGCCCAGACAGTTTACACTTTCAAATACGGTCACCTATTGTTACAAGGCCAGTGAGAAGACACATGCAACACTACATTGCCTTTACTTCTTGCTGCCCAGCCTCTACTTGGACTTCACAGAGTAGGTCACAAACTCTGCAGGTCTGGGCTATTAAATTTGCTGACAAAGAGCCAGGACAGAATGAAAGACTATGTTCTACAATAAATTATTCTTGAATTAAATTTATTATGAAGTACTTTGATCCACTCAGCCAACCAATATTTCCATCTCCTCCTTTCAAAGCAGATACCTTGCTTAAAAGAGCACCCAAAGGCTAGAGCTACTGATTGATGGGAGAAATACTGCAAGTACAGAGGTATTTTCATGTAAATGTAGTAAAAGACTTCCTGGTGCTGTATAATTGCCCCATAAAACCTCCCTAAGTTTGATGCTTCAGTTTTCAAAGTGATTTTATACATTTTCTTCTATACAAATGGCATTATCTACAAGACATAAATGCTGAAGCAGATGCTTAAAAATGCTTACTTGTTCTGCAGATTTCACCGTAGTCAGAAATGCCTCCTGTCTCTCTAACAGCCAGCTTCAGAAGTAGTAGAATCACTCAAAATTAGAAATATGTTCAAGTACACTCACTGTTCAAATATTGCTCTACAAAGATGCCTGTTTAGTGTGTCCAAAAGAATCACAGAGGCTCTAACTACCTCTGGCTATTATTCATTTTCTCATGCTGTAGGGCCACTCCATCCCAGCCTCCCATCCTTAAAAATGCAGAAGTGTTAAGGTAGAATCATCGCCATTTTCCTGTACCAGGAAACTCAGTGTCTGTTATTTGAAAAATAAACCTTCAAAGACACTTTACATGCATTTACTCCAAAAATCTCAATGCATCTGAAGCTCAGGATCTGCACTGGCCAAGAATGAAAGTCACATAATGTGCTTCCTTAACAGAAAAAAGCCAAACCAAACCAAACCTGAAATAATCACTATGTTTGCAAATAAGGTTCCTCACCTTTGTGTTCTAGAAGGCTGGTATATGTAATTTCCTGAGACTTCAGCGTCAGAGAAGGCATGGGAAAGCAAATCAGGAATACAGAAAAGATAGGACTTCTAGTCCTGTGGCATGGTCACTGTGGCATGGACTTACCACTGTCTATCACCCTGTTACGTGGAACAGGAACCTGCTGGATCTACTCAGCCCAGAGGATGAAGCAGCAGCATTTGAATTATTCACTAGCATATGGTTTCACCACAGTGACTTTTTTCCCCCCTCCTGTTGGGCCTCTAGTAATTCAGATAACCACTAGGGCCAAGGTTTACCTTGTAAATGCAACACATATTTTCATCAGCTTCCCTTTTCTGAGCTCCTATTTTTCTTACCCTACACAATTATTTTGAGTGCACTTATAAAATAAAGCACAATCAAGAAAGAACATGTTATATTATAGCAGGGTTTTAGTAGTCAGTTTCTCATTATAATAATGCTCTTCTGTTACAGTGGTCAGAGCTATGACACATGACATATTTATGGTGGACACTGTTCAGCACATAGTCCTTTCCTGGCTCAATCATAGTATACTTTGTGTTCCTACATCTGAAAAGCTGATAACACATTTCCTGCAAAGAAAAATACGAATTATAAATTCTTTTCAACCTAAGCAACAGCAACCACACTATGGCCCAGATTCTTCTTTCTCACTGCTCTCAAGTAATTCCTGGGAAGCTTACTCTTAAGCAGAGAATAGAAGTATCAGGCTGCCCAGGTTCACAATAAAAATTTTTAAAATGCATAAAAGAAAGCTTATTTTTCCATCATAAAAGCTAAGCTGTCAGGCACCTGAGTTCATTCTCAGCACCCATCACCTGTTACATACTGAATTTTATATTTCCCTACCTTGACTCCTTATCTACCTAAGAAAAATTTGATAGAGATACAATGGTCGTAATCAGCATTCAGTTGACATTTCAGCAAGGACATACAAGGGCATATAGTGATAGGTTAAGAGGAAATGGCTTTAAACTGAAAGAGGAGAGATTTAGATTAGATATAAGGACTAATGTCTTCCCTGTGAGGGTGCTGAGGCACTGGCACAGGGTGCCCAGAGGAGCTGTGGCTGCCCCATCCCTGGCAGTGTTCAAGGCCAGGTTGGATGGGGTTTGGAGCAACTTGCTCTAGTGGAAGGTGTC